GGACGACCACAATGTTTTCGGAACATCCCTTAGGGTGGGCAAGTGACAAGACCAAAGCCCTTCGTTTATGGAACACCTCGACCAAGAGGTGGGCGAAGGTCGCTTGTTTTCAAACCGGTCCAGTATATAATATCCCATATCACTATGTATATTTAATTAAATACTGCAACCGGTTCGATCACTAACTTAATCCAAATTCAAATTATTTTGGTTTCATATCTAAAGCGCAATTTACTGTTTTCAGAAGTAAAATCAATTGTGGTATACAATTGTACACTGTTTTCAATTGTGTAGTGCAATTTAATCATGCTGTAGCTTTCGGTTCATAGTCATTTATTAGTTATAATTTCAAACTCACTTTGATACAGTGACTTACAGTTTTGCTATGAAGTCAACTGTTGGCTTCATAGCAAGAACTGTTAACTGTTATTTCAGTCTAATATTAGTCTTACTGATGTATAATTGTCAACGTAAATTGACACCATCAGACCATGAAATATATGAAAGTTTCGACCGTATTTATAATCTTAAAGACACTATCATCTGATCATGCATATACGTATCTATATTCCATATATATATAATAAGAAAATTACCATTTTTTTGAAAATGGCATGTAAAACTTTGATCAATTTATTACAATCCAAGATTAGTAACTTTTTATTTTTTTTTAATAAAAGATCGGGCAACCCTTAATTTAAGGCATTTGTATTTGTTCTTCAAAATAGCGTGTGATATAGGATATTATACTGGATCCGGATTAATGGATAAAGCGGAAACATATCGGAGGATAAGTCCACTAAGACATCTAAGCCCAACGATAGGGGTCAAGCCCAACTTGGGCCCAAAAGGTACACTCCCTCTATAAAAGGGGGTCAAGGTACCTCATTCTCTCAGGCTCTATTGATTTACTACACACTTTCTCTCTCTTGATCTGAGCACTGACTTAGGCATCGGAGGCCCGACGCCGGGGCCACCCCCGGCGTTGGGTTCTGCAGGTACGGAGACCGGTTCGA